TTTTTTTTCAAAGGTCACTTGGTTGCATCTTATTCTCTGTTGGCACAAGAACAAACTGACACATTTGTAAAGGCTGAATACGTACTGTTGATTATCTCTCTTTCTCTGACTCCTGACATTTCAGCTGGCCACGAAGTAGGCCAAAGATGATATCTTTTTCCCTCCTCAGAGACCATCACAGTTCTGCTACACTTTTTAATGTTGTGGCATGTCCATACAACCATATTGATGTATTTTTCATAACAAATGAGCTTGTGATAATAAAACTTTGTAAGTCTAGCAGCAACATAAAGCATGGCAAACTGTTTTGTTTTTGTGTTTTTTCCCAGCAGTTTATCTGTAACTATCAAACTTTCCTCTGAGTAGAATTTCCTAATGACATGCTGCTGCTTCTGAACACTATACAGTAGTGAATATGCTTAAAAAAGTGGTTGTGGCAGGAGCCAAATTCTGATTTTATCTGTGTTTGTGTCTCTGCGCGTGTGTCTCATCAGGAAGCAGTGAAGGAGAACCACAAGAAAAGGGAGATGGAGGAGAAGATCAAGAGAGCCAAGCTGGCGAAGGAGAAGGCAGAGCGTGAGAAGCAGGAGCGCCAGCAGAAGAAGAAGCAGCTGATTGACATGAACAAAGGTACGCCACTTCTCCCCGTGCCGCCACCGAGCCGGAGATAGGAGAACTCGGAGGACGAGAACAGGAGGATGGAAGGGGATTTCGTGGAAATCTGCTTCACATAGATTTGAACTGAAGGAAGAGGATAGTGTGTAGGAGGAGCAGAACTTATCTTTCTTAGCTATGAAGGAATTCTATATTTATTTTGATACCTAGCACAACGTTTCCAAACAAAACAGAGGTTATGTTTACACGTTACGTCACGTTTCGTCCATGTATGTAGACAGACATATTTTTTGTTATACATATTTCACATAGTGTATGTCGTTCAGTTTTGTTACCAGCTTCCATCGGGATACGAAAGAACTTGCAAGGAAATATTTGTGGGCATGTAAAGATTGAAAGCTGTGCACGACATATAGAAAAGGCTAACGCTTGTTCTCTAGACGTCCAGTATGATTGTGGTCATTTTATTAGTCCATCGGCCCATTTATCCATTGGTCTCGTCGAAGCAATGGGCTGTTTTCAGGCGGCATGTTACATTTAATGTTGCAAATAGCTAGAATTAGACTGTGTCCTCAAGCAATGCCAGTAAGCCGTGTATTGATCAATGAAAGTCACAGTTGTTCACACATGAAAAATAATAGTGACAGAGCCTGGTGCCTGTGTGTAGTTATTCCAATGACACTGAGAAGATATTTCAAGCCTGGAGGGGCTTTGTGAGCAGTCAGTGTGTTCTTTTCTTCTTCTTCATTTTTTTTCTTCTTCTTTTGCACAAATTGACTGGGATTTTCACAATTTACCAACTTCTAAATGTCAGCACCAGGCAGAGACCTCTCTGTAGCTCAGCCATATTGGGAAATGTGACAAGACAGTTCTCAGTATGCCACAAACTCTCCAAGATAATTGATGCATGCTGCATTTTCTTTTTCCTAAGCAGTGACCTCTGTGAAAGCCTCACTTTTAATAATCCAACATGTCTGAGCTGAGGGAGCCTGTCTACCCTTCTCTCTCATTCTGGCTAACCAGATGGAGAAGGATAGAGAAGTAGGTATGATATTAAATATTTCTGCCAGAGCAGATTTTGATCTCAGTTTCTGAATGCCATAATATGACTCGTATGAATAAAACATAAGGATGACATGGGCAACGTTGCCTGCGGCCTTGGAGATAGTGGGGATTGTGCACCAGCAGCACCAGCACCTGGCTCGTTGGACTCTTGCGATAACAATGACCTTTGAAATTATGAAATATACACTTTAAAATTCAAGTTGTATCAATCCTGAGCTGTGTTTTTTTCTAATGAGAAGGTTCTTACCTACACGGGCTTTAAATGTCCGTAATTAACGTCTGCATATGTGTAATGTAATCAGAGGAAGATCAATCGAATGCAGAGATTGTTAAATGTATTCTGTGAATGAGAATCTGAACTTGAGCCAGGAGCAGGTTGGAGGTTACAGCAGCTCGGTGGTTTGTGCTTCTGTTGTCTCTCAGCTTTCCTTTAAGCTGTGTGGTTTGAACACACATTGCAGGATATTTGGTGCTTTCACGTCTTACTTTTTCCCTCCATTTCTCTCCAGTTAACAGCTTCGGCTTAAGATTCTTGGCTTTTTTCTCCAATCCTGTTCTACAATCCTACATGTGCTACCGAATTAGTTATTTTCACATCACTTTTTCAGCCTGAGCGTCAGCAGTGTTCCCAGCGATGGATCGTTTAATACCTTTCACCTTTAATTAATTATGTCTGAAAATAATTTAGTATTTTTGAAGGTTGAAAGGCTAGAATTATTATAGTCTTTATTGTATACTAAATTTGTTTGTAGGCTAAATAGATAGATGGAAGAGAGAGAGAGACAATGAGATCAAATATAAATAAATTTAGATTGCAAATCCATTAACATAAGCAGCTAGAGTAAACATATGGCTGCTGTATTATGAGAATTATGCTCAGGTCATTGTCTTATCTGTTTTATGGATTTACAGATTTTCTCATTTTATTGCTTAAAAGAGTCTTTGATGGATCATAGTATTCAGTTTAATGCCATTTCAAGAGGCTATTTTTGAGAAGGGATAGATTTGATGTCATTTCACAAATTGCAACCTAATCCTCTTCGCTTGCAAATGATTAAGAACGAAATACATATTTAATGGGAGTTTAATTCATTTAGCTTGTGCCAGGATGGCACCGGGGTGGGGGAGGGTTGACGGACAAATGCAGTAGGACAATCATTTCCCCCTCCCTCCCCGAAAAATCCCATTTCCTAGTTGATAAAACTTGCGATTATGCTCTCTCTACGTTCAGTGACACGCACACTTCGTCAACAAGCGTGATTGATAGATGAGACAAGCGCTGAACACGTTTTCTTTGTGAAGTATTAGAAATCCTAATGTAGGAAATTGCTTATGAAATCATTACCCAGTCACCCCATTTGTTTTAATTTGCTCTAAGTGGATTTCCATATTCTCTTCAACTGACCAGATGTTCAGCATTTACTAAATCACTTTACTTCACTGGAAATAACTGTTGAACACTGTAGAATAAATCCAAACGAATGCTTCTGTCTGAAACACGAGAAGATGGTTCAGCGCAGCGGGATCGTTTTTATTGCAGCATATGAAACAATGTCACAAACAGCATGCTGAGTGTGTCAAGTGCCCAAGCATGGTAGAGCATCTGGACTTTACTTCTCTAAGGCATTTGTGAAGAGTAGCAGACCCCTTTGGCCGCTTGCTCGGCTGGCATCTCTGAGGTCAGTGCCCCCGTCTGGGGCAAGTGTCTGAACCCACATGTCAACTGTATACCCCAGTCAAATTCACTAAGCTTTGAACAGAGCCGGGAAGCACACATGCTTCTTTGAGCCCGATTCAGCTTGGCATAAGGCGCATAAAAGGAAGTAAACACCAGAAAAAACAGAAAAAAATAATAAGTCAAACATTTTATTTAGTCCATGAGAAATTTGTTTTCTTTTTTTGTCTATTTTTCTCAGAAAAAGATACAAAACTAATCTCGGTTTCTGCTGCTCTGTGTTCACGTTCCCTTCGCATGAACATCTAAAAATACACCATCAACCTGAAGAATATAAAGCTTTAAAGCATATTGGTTATGAAGTTCACATTACCTTTTATGAGTGTACCAACTGCCTGCTAACTCAGTTTGAAACACAATGAAATGTTATCCAACTTTATTACTTTACTAATTGCGGATCTCAAAAGAAAAATATTTGAACGGAAAACTATATTTCAGTAAAATCAGTTCTTATAATTGTACTACAGGGTATTCCTAAAACCCTAAAACTAAACGCAGCGGCTGCACAGATGTTGTTTTTATGATCATGTTTTACTTGCAAAGGGATCATTTTTTTAGAGACAGAATTCGAGCCCACCCAGCGTCAGTCCACTGCAACAGCTGGCAGACACACTGACAGAGTGTGGATCCATACATTTTGTCGCTCACTGGGATTTTTACAGCAGATAAATATGTTTAGGCAAAATGTTTGTGTTTGTGACGACACATAGTGTATTCATCTTCATATTTTTTCACAAAACATCTGGTTGAGGTTGACTATGTGACATTTTCTCTCAGTGGCTTTAAAAATCCCAGAGCCAAGGTTCAAACCAACAGACGTTAAGCAACATTTCCAATAATTCAATTCAATTCAATTTTATTTATATAGCGCCAAATCACAACAAAAGTCGCCTCAAGGCGCTTCATAGATACAGAGAAAAACCCAACAATCATATG